GGGGGGGGGGGGGGAGGACGGCCACGACAAAGCAATTTGCGTAGGCAAGCGGGAGCCAGAAGTGGCGGCGGCGGTTCCCGGCTGTTCTGCGGTCGTCAGGAGACGTCCTGGAATAGGGATCAGCTAGTTAGACGAGCCGACTCCCCTGTCGCCGCTGGCTGACTGGCCGATGCGTAAGACAATGTACCCAGCTTGTCTCGACTGAGGTCTGACACTGTGCGATGTCATTCGCAGCGAGCGAGTCGCACGCACCTTATCGGAGCGCGTGTTAGCGGCACCGCCGCCGCGACAAGCCGGCAAACGTCGATAGGTATTAACGTGAGCGCGAGGCACATAATTAGCGCGGGTCGACGATTATCGCTAATGGGGAGGCGCGTTCTACGGAAAGGATAGGGCTCTTCGGTTCTGCGAACGAGAGATTCGTATTAGCTCCGATTCTTGTCGTGAAAATCGGATCACAATTAGCTGATTAACGGTGCACACATCGTCGAGGGAGGGAGGGGGGGGCTCTCTCTCTCTCTCTCTCTCCGGCGACGCGCATTTTTTCAAGGGAGAGGATAATGAATCTATCCGGGCTTTCTCTTTCTCCCTGAGGCCCGAATACCCCGTTGAGTTATGTAAGTACACTTCGCCCGAGAAGATTAAAATACCTTACGTATTTTTTGCGAGATCTCTTCGAAGAAGGCGAAAGTTTCTAACGAAAGCCATTTGAACTCTTGTGTATGTTTGTGTTTGAAAGTTAAGGTTCAGTTTGAAAATCAGATTATGTTGGAAGTTGGGTTAATTGTAGGAAGATACGCGTGTGATCGTTAATTGCCGGTTACACACGCAGCGAGAGATACTCGTTGGAAAAATTATTTTCTCCCGTAGCAGCTCTCGTTGCAGCCGCATCGAGGTGCTAAATTTTTCAGAGAAAGAGCACGAGAAAGGGCAACTGATTACCAAAATGGAAAATTTCATTTTAGATGGGACGTATTCGGACATATTTAACGGATTAGAATTTTAATACGCGATTTAACACATGCCTGATATTTAAATTCTTTAGCGTCCAACATCGCGTCAAATTTGACAAGCGATTAAATTTTCACGGGATCGCACGCCGAGCGACACATATACGGCGAGCTGTGTACGTTTTTATTTTCCGAGCGCTCGCGTAGTGGTTATTCTGTCTCGTCGTCGTTGTTGTTGCCTTTTTTTCCCCCCGTCAAAGCAACGGCAGGGACAAAAAATGTTTCCTCGGACGCAATACTATCTTAGAACTAATAGAACGGACGCATCCCCTGCACTTACTGCGATAGCCGTTTACTGTCTAGTAAAAACACAGAAACGGTCGGGACGTTTAGACGGAAGCGTTGCAGCCATTCTAGAAAACGAGAATGTTGCGCATAAAGGGAAGAATGGATGACATCTCGAGGGAGGATAAGAACGTTTGTAGAGTGGGAAATGGCAGAGAGAGAGAGAGAGAGAGAAAGTTGTAGGACGAGCGAGCGAGCGAGCGAGCGAGTACACAGACGTGTCGGGAAATAGAATCCAATGTCTGCTTTAGTGATTTGCAAAAACACTTTTCGAATATTCGCCATACGAAACTCGTTCGGAGGTACTTCTCGCGGCGCCGTGCCGCCGATATTTATAGTCCCTGTACGATAACGTGGAATAATATTATGATAAAAATGTACGATAAAAGCGTACATTCGCGCGCGCTCTCTTGTGTCGCCACACTGCGCGCAATTACACGGCCGCTCGGCTTCGGCAGTCTCGCTCCCTCGTTGACATCACTCGAGGCATCGCGAGCCGCGCGAAAGGGTCAAGCGAAATTTGAATAAATTGCCTTTCCTATTCGCGATCCTTTCATTCGTCCGGCGAGGTCTTTCAGCCGGCCTCTGAAAAGGTTCGCGAATTATTCTTGCGAAGCCGTTCAGCGTCGATAAGGGGCGGGTTCATTTGAAAACGGGGTCACGGGGAAAGCATTACGGGACATTCCCGCGAAGCTCTAGGAAAGAGTATTATTTTAATAAAAGACGACGGTGAGTGCGGTGAATGTATCCGCGCGCGCTCGCCACTCTATATGGAATTTATAAAATGTTTGTCCTAGTAACATTCGCGACGGCGTGACACGACGTGTCGCCGCAATCAGCACCGCGCGTGAGAACGTTCCGCCGGAAATAGCCGTTATTCACACCGTGAATTTGCAGGGAAATACAAAATGGAAAAGAAAATTAATGGCCGTACGTGGGATACGCGATGGTGTAACGCGCGATGTTGCGATACATACGCGTCCAATTCTCGCATCTAATATTAGACCGTATCGCGATGCGATATTTATTTCTTTTTTTTCAAGGGACATTATCGTCAGAGAAAGATTCGATTCATTTTGAATATAGACTCGGAAGCCGC